GGCCACTTGGACACCCCCTTGGCAGTATAGGGCCCCTTGGGCAGTCTTGAGGCCCTCTGGGGAATCTCTTGATCAGCCATGGGCCACCTCGAGCCACTTTGATGTCGTCTGTGCTGTCTTGGGAGCCCTCTTGGTGGCCATCTCGGCCGCCTGAATGCAGAATTGCCAGATGGCGATTCCAGGGGGGGCCTACTAGTCGGGCATGCGCGCGGCAAGGGGAGGGTGGAGGAGGATGGGGGCGCCCCCAGAAACCAGCACAACTTTTCAGAGTGACCAGATTTGGCATTCTGGCGCGTCCACTCCGCGCAGGCGCGTTGGCGGTTTTGCCTTTCGCATCCGTCCGCGAAGCCCGACCGTTTGCAAGGAATTATACAGTCCGATCTTTCGGTTGGTTCGGTGCCGCGATTGCATCTGGCGCGCCTGAACCGCAGCGAGGGCCGCGCCGAACCTCGCGCAATTGGCAGATTTCGTCAGGAGGGAATGCTCCGACTCTAGCGCCGCCGCGAGGATTCCGCGGGCTGCGGCTAGCGACTAGGAAGACGCCGTCGCCGCGGCCCAGTCGGGCGCGGCGATGCAGACAACAGCGAGGTAGGGGCTTCGCCAGTTGCGGGTTTGGGCTGGGGTCCAGCGACTCGCTGCGCGGGGCCCAGCAGCTCGCTGCGCCGCAGGGTGGGCCCTCTGAGTGGCTTCCCATGCTTTATCTTCTTACAACCTTCCACCGCGGAGGTGTCGGCTCGAACAGCGCTGGGGCCCCAGGCGCGGCTGGCGGCCCGTGGCCGAGCGGCGCAGGCGCGGCCCGTGGCCGAGGCGGCAGTCGCTGCGCTGCTGGGGCCGATCTCTTTCATCGCGCGATACCCGAATATGTCAAACTCCGCGCGTCTGGTCGGCCCGTCCAGGCACAGTGCCGAAGAGGGTGAACAATGGGAGCGAGTCGGGCAGAGGGGTGGGCTGGCGGTGGTGGCATGGGAAGTGCGGGGTCGGTGTGAGGGAGAGCGGTTGTGTGGATAATGTGATGGGGCGGGGGTGGGGCGGCGGGGGTGAGGGGAGGTGGGGCGGCGGAGCGGGCGGTGGGAGCGGTGGGCGGCGGGCGCAGGAGGTGAGTGTGAGGGGGCGCGGGGGTGGACCGGGGGCGATGGCGGAAACCGTGGAGGACGTTGCGGACGACAGGGGCAAGAGGATGGTGATCGGGGAAGGGGTGGGTCGCCCAATGGGCCCGTTGGTTCCGCCCGCTTGGCCCGCCTGCAATGCGCGGTTTCGATTTCCTCGTCGCGGGATGTCCACCCCGCAGGGCCGAAAAGGCCACCGCGCCATAAGTTCATCCCCAGAGGTCTCCTACCGCCCCCCCCACCCCCCCCCCTCCCCCCCGCACTTCCCCGCCATAGTCTACGCGATGCTGGAAAACCATGTCAATTTTCCGACGCGCGCGGGGGGGCGCGCACGCGCCGCCGTTGCGCCTTTGCGGCGTTCGTCAATTGCAATCGGCATTTTCTCGTAAACGCAGCGTGCGCAACTGGTACGCGCAACGTGTTGCGTGATTTTTTGTCGTGCGGCGGGCGTGCCAGGCCGCGGTGAGGTTCTGCATGTATTAGTTTATACGATATTAGTACATCGGTATGATTTATTTTCTACGATTGCATTACCATTTCGTTTGCGGGGCTTACCGCGCGCGTTCCCTGTACATTTGCCCTTTCTAATGTTTCGCGCGGTTGTATTGCATTGTGTCGTTGTGCACCTTCACTGCGTCACAACGCAAGGCCCGCCATCTGTAAGGATACATATGGTATTTCTCGAATTATTCGGTTGGACTCGCGCGGTTCTGAGCGTGGTGTTGGAAGAGCGGCCCTCCCGCATTTGATAATCTTTTCTCGCGTGCCCCCATCTACCAATGATCTCTCCTCCGACCTTTCCCCCCGCCCTCCCTGTGCCACCTTGCCGCCCTCCCCCCGCCTCCCTCTCGTGCCGCAAATCCCATGGCGCCCGCCCCATCTTCCCTTCCACCCTCACACATCCTTGTTTCATGTGAAGTTTCTGTTTTCTTTCCCTTGCAGGAACGGTGGCGCCCCCGAGCTTCTGCAGTGAGTTCGAGGTTTCGTTTCCCGCTGGCAAGCTCGCCGCGCGGGTCCTGGCGTACCTTACCAAGCACAGCAAGGTTGACAAAGTGGAAAAGTTCACCGCTGAGGTCGCGCGCAACATCGAGGTTAGGTCCTCCATTGTCGGCGAAGATGACTACTACCGCATCGATGGTGAGACTGCCCCACCAGGCCCAGAGTGCTGGCAGCTCGGGTATTGCGTGTGCGCGCAGGAGGGCAAGGCCAGGCGAGCCATGACCAACGCATTCCTCACCAAGGTGCTCACAGACAAATGCAAAACTGGGACCGTGGGGAGATCGCTGATCGATGAGAGCTACATGGTTTTCTCAATCGATGGGTGGCACGACGATGAGACTGGCAACTTTGACACGTTTTCGGGGCACTACCATTGGAGTCACATGTATTGGTCACCGATGTCACCATCACTCACGCAGTTGGAACTGATATCGACGGAGGCGGATCGCAGTATCATCGTGAAGTCGACTGGCAAGCAGCTCCTTCTTCACGAACTCATGGCCGAGCTCGACAACAATATGCGTTTTGATGTGGCGCTATACTTCATCGACGAACAGCCTAAGATGTTGCAGCATTGGGTATGTCACACTGTGACTGCTAGGCCTTTCGTCGACGACCTCGGCGCCGACGGCGATGATGACATCACGTTCTGGCCCTTCCGTAAAGCCAAACGGAAGGGAATGGACAGGTGGAGGGCTGGCCGCCCCAAACGACCAAAGAAAGCTACAGATGCGGGTGGTCCTGCGCCGCTTGAGGATGGGCCTGAACCGTGCCCTGAAGACCCGCCCGCATCCGACCACGCTGAGCTAATTTATGCAGTGGTTGCATTGGAGAAGGAGGCAGAGCATGATGGCTTTGTTCTGCCCGACCCTCACGGTGGCCATTCTGGGAGCGACGGTCGCGGTGGAGAGGGCGGCGGCGAGGTGGACAGCGACGAGTTCCTCGACGGGCTGTTCAGCGAGTCGTCGGGCGTCGATGGCGCCCCAACCGACCTCTTCGGCGAGGGCTCTGGCGATGACGGGCGCCCTCCACGTGGACCCTGGGGTAAATCACACATCCGCCTCGGCCCCTCCTCGGGGTCACGGGGCGGGGCGGTGGTGGAGGTCTTCGTCGTCGTCGTCGTCGTCGTCGTCGCTGTCGTCGTCGTCGCCGTCGCCGTCGCCGTCGCCGTCGCCGTCGTCCGTCGTCGTCGTCGTCGTCGTCGTCGTTCGTCGTTGTCGTCGTCGTCGTCGTCGTCGTCGTCGTCGGCTCCCGAGCGAATCGCGAGGCGCGGCGACGACGACGACGACGATGACGACGGCCCAAGGGTGGGAGGGCGGCGTTTAAAGCGCGGTGCCCCCTTTTCCCAGCCATCCTGCGTTGCTGGGTCCTCGTTTTGAATCCGCAGCGCCCCGCGCCACCTCCTGACCTTCCCCCCCCTCTCCCCACCTCCCCTTCCTTGCCTCTGCTTTTCGCGTGTCAAGTTCGGCACGTCCCTCACGCATTTTGCGGCCCCGAAGGGAGCTCCACCGAAGGCCCTAGCAGCTGCGCTCGCATGGCAGCACCGCGCCCGTAGAGCCTCGTGGGGTTCATGAGAGTGGCGTGGACATGCGCATCGTAGACGCGGTCGTGGTGGGGTGGACGGGCATACTGCATGTTAGGGTAGGGTCGGGTAGGGTATGCTGGCGTCGACTCGGGCACATCAGAGTTGAGTAGACACGAGTAGACTAGAGAAGAGCAGGTTGAGTATTTTCGAGCATATTAGATTGGGGTGGCATATATCAGAACACTGCGACGTACAGAGCGCAGGGTAGACACGAGCGCATGGTCGCATGGGCAAGCAACCTTACTTAGATAAGACTAGTCGCGTAAAGTTGAATATCGTACAGTAGAGCAGCATGTATGAGAATAGAGCGGCGTAGCGTAGAGTGGGGCAGCGCCGAGTAGAGCAGAGTAGGCTAACTTAGAATAGAACTGCGTAGTGCAGAGGTAACGTATCGCATCGCAGGGGGGAGTTCGTGATAGCTGGGAGTTGCGTGTAGTAGAATAGGCCAGACCCGACCAGAGTAGAGTACAATGTAGCAGAATTGGTAGCGTAGCGTAGTGTAGCTTAGATGTGTGGGGCAGGGCAGATCAGATTACAGCAGTGTCGCGTAAGGTAGTGTCGTGCAGTGGAGCAGTGCTGGCAATGCGCTGTAGGGTTGGATAGAGCAACGTTGACCAGCTCAGACCAAATGCGGTGGATCGCAACGTAAGGGGTGAAACAGCTTAGCAGACCGTCAAGTCTACTCTGGTGTCTGATTATTGTTCCTAGATGGTTCAATTTGGTGGGTGTGCTCGGGTACACTGTTCGGTGTTTACGTTCATCGGTCTGCTCTCTGCCCTGTCGCATTGCTTTCAGTTGCGATCTTGCGTATGGCTGTTGTTTGGGTTCTTGCATGTGTTGTTGTAGTTCTGGTGCGCGCAGTGCGGTGCAGCTGATTTCACAATCGCCCAGCATCGGTGGCAGTGCGCGCGCTTCGCGTGCCCGTGCAAGCAGAGCAGAGCTGTGGACCAGAGTATGTCAGCATAGAGTTGGTTACACCAGATCAGGGTAGGGCAGGTCGCGTTGAGCAGCAGTGAGTTCTGCTGACATGGCGGTGTATAACAGGTTATTGGTTGTAGTCAGTAGCAGATGCGGCGACAATAGTTGTAGTAGTCGGGGGGGGGGTCAATGCTAGCATTACTAGTGGCATTAACAACTGTAGTAGCGGGAGAAGTAGTCGTGGTCCTCGTTGGAACGATTGCCAGAAGCGTGCTTGTCGTTGCCCATATTCTGCGTATAGAGTCTAGGATGGTAGGCACGTTTCTTCATATGGCTGCCTGGGGGGGGGGAGGGGGGCGGGGTTTCGCTGCGGCGCGGCATCTTCCCAGGAGGTCGTGCTGGAGATCCGAGTGGTGGGCATGCGCCTTCCCCTGCACCTGGCGGCGGCGACCACAATGACGCTGGTGCCCCAGGAGGGCCAGATGCCCCTGCGCCCGTCGGCGGCGGCGGAGCTCATGTGCCTGACCCTCCCGTGCCGCCGCCTCCCGACCCGCATGGCGACGGGCCCCCTGTCGTCGTCCCGATCCCTGCGAGGGCTGCGGCTGGCGGCAAAACGTTCAGGTGGGGTCGCAGGTTCTCCTTGACACGCGTGGACAGGGCTGGCGTAACGGTCGGATGGCAGGCCAATTGCAACCATCGGGATCTCGCTGCTGACGGCATCAATTTCGAGAAGACCGCGTGCGTCAAGACGCTCATTGCTGGCGGTGGTATACCTTTGGACGAGTGCAAGCAGCGATTGAAGATGTGGCTCCTGAGGGGAGTTGATATGCCCCAGAGCACCAGGGACTTTCCAGTGCAACGGCATATTCACGTGCACACTTTTTACCCGCGCCAGTGGGTACTAGAACCAGATTCCGAACTTGACAGGCGCGGGGATGAGCTCACCGTACCAACGTAGAGCTCGAGGTGTACACTGTGTACATTGCCGAAGGTTTCTCAGGACAAACCCTGACACTCTACTCTGAGTGTCCAGGTTCACGTTGCTACCTATGCGACCAGCCCACGCGGGCCCCAGGGGTAGCGTCATTGGCTCTTGGGTGACCTGCAGGGCTGGCGTGTATGGTTTTGCGGATGCGGCCGAAAGGCAACTTTCACGGTGGCTGCAGGTTGTTTTCTCTATTGGTGGGTATATATACCGCATGCGGGAGCCAGACTACGCGCGTGGCTTCGTGAATTACACGCTGCGCTTCGTGCGTGTGCATTGCTTCTACTGGGCGGTGTTCGTCGTTGTCGACCACCTGGACTTCGATTGCGTTGTCGAGCTCATGTTCGGCACCCCGAGGGCTTTGGCTGACGCCAGGGTCGCGCAGCGGTGTTTACTGCTGACTGCGAGCGCAGCTGGACTCAGCTGCGAGGAGAGGGCCGCTGCCTCACTCCAGCATGAGTTCTTCTCCCTCGGGCATCGTCGCCTGTCGTCCTCCTTTATGCAGCCTCCTGCCCAATCCTCATACCTCTGGTGGTGATCGGATCAATTTGCTTTCGGGCCGCGGCCCCGCCCTCCTGAGTCTCGCTCGCGCCTGGGGTCCAGCTTCCAGGCTCGCCAAAGCCCGGCTTCAAGATTCGCCAGGGCCCGATTGGCCCTCGCTCTTCCGTCGCACCTTGGGCCCATCGGTGCGCGGCGCGAAGCGCGTGCAAATGTCGAAGCTTGGATATGCACCGCCTCAATTATCGTGCGGTCGGGTGGGGCGGAGGAGGGCAGATGATGATTGTGGGGGACAGCGAGGGGGTAAAGTAATGCTCTCAGGGGGGTTAATGGCAACCTCAGCTTCGGGGGGGGGGGCCTCATGTTCATCGCCCGCATGCCCGAAACCATGTGATGTACTTGATTTGTTCTGGCATCTCAGTGGGGGGTGGGGCCTTTGGTCTTTTGCGACGGGGCTCGCGTTCTTAATGCGCGTTCTGGTGGCTATGTCGCCCCCCCCCCCCCCGCGTTTTAGCGGACCTGGCATCCCATCCACCCTCGTTCTTGCAAAGAGTGGCGGGCTGCATCAGCATGCGGCAACAGCATCCGTTGTTTCGGGCGCACCTCGAATTTGCTTTTCGCGTAGTGAATCTGGGCTGGACTGGACTGGACTGGACTGACAGGTCGCACCCGTAACGCGACCGTTTCATTTTCGGCGGCCGAGGGCGCAACCTGTGGATCATCCACAGTCTTATTCCCGGCGGCCGAGGGCGCAACCCATGGCGCAACCAAGAGGGGACAGTTTTATTCTCGGCGGCCGAGGGCGCGACCCAGCACCCGGCGACCCGGCGACCCGGCGACCCGGCACCCGGCACCCGGCACCCGGCGACCCGGCACCCGGCGACCCGGCACCCGGCACCTGGCACCTGGCGACCCGGCACCCGGCGACCCGGCACCCAACGACCCGGCACCCGGCGACCCGGCACCCGGCGACCCGGCACCCGGCACCCGGCACCCGGCTCGCGGCACCCGGCACCCGGCGACCCGGGACCCGGCGACCAAGCACCCGGCGACCCGGCGACCCGGCGACCCGGCACCACCCGGCACCTGGCGACCCGGCGACCCGGCACCCGGCAGCACCCGGCGACCCGGCGACCCGGCGACCCGGCACCCAGCACCACCCGGCACCCGGCGACCCGGCACCCGGCGACCCGGGCACCCGGCGACCTGGCACCCGGCACCCGGCACCCGGCTCCCGGCACCCGGCACCCGGCACCCAGCACCCGGCGACCCGGCGACCCGGCGACCCAGCGACCCGGCACCCCGGCACCCGGCACCCGGCACCCGGCGACCCGGCGACCCGGCGACCCGGCGACCCGGCACCCGGCACCCGGCACCCAGCACCCGGCACCTGGCACCCGGCACCCGGCGACCCGGCGACCCCGCGACCCCGCACCCGGCACCCGGCACCCGGCACCCGGCAACCCGGCGACCCGGCACCCGGCACCCGGCACGCGGCACCCGGCACCCGGCACCCGGCACCCGGCACCCGGCGACACCCGGCCGGCCCCCCGTCCTTGTCAGGACCGACCTCGAATTTGTGGTCATGCTATCGGGGCCTATCGCCGAGCTATCGGCGATGTATTGCCGATTCCATGTTGATGTTTCCCCCCCTCGAGCTTGTCCCCCTCCCTTAACGGCGCCCTTCGGTTTTCGGGTCATAACTTGGCTTTCTGGCGGCCGTTCGGGACGATTCGGGCACCCCTGGAATGCTCTCGGCGAGACGCAGCTGCTTGAAGGCATCCCGGGCTGGGAGACCGCCGTGAAGCGACGAAACCACACAGAACCTCGAGCCTCGAACCTCGAAGCCTGAAGTGGTTTCCTCATCACAGAGCTAGGATGCAACTCCTGGGAGGTTATGTTTCGGCGCTGGTATATCCGTGGTCGAAATCTAGCCCACTTCGGCAACAGCCCGCATCCTCCCTGTTATTTCCGTTTCGTCCGGCGTAATCCCCTTGTAATGCTTGGCGTACTCTGGGCGGATCTGGCTTACTGGTGCTTTGAAGGGTCTAGTAGCTCTGAATCGTTCTTACGAGGACCTCCTAGAGGTCCCTCCCCTCCAATTGGGGACGGGCGTTTCGAGACCCGAAGGGAACAGCTTGAATTCACATCTAGAGTGGTAATTCGGCCAATGGGGCCAAGGCCATGCCGGTGGGAATGGGGATCGGTTAAAAGATGCTCAGCGGTCCATCCCAGGCGAAATCCGGCTAAACCTTATTGGGCCATTAATCCATTCCAATCGTTCTTAATCATTCTCACGAAAGTTTCCCGGAAGTTGCCTTCCAACGCAGTGAACGAAAAACATATCCGTATCCGCGGCCTCGCGGGCGGGGCCCCTTGGCCGCGACCCCACGGACGTGGGGCGTTTTTTGTCGCGGATGCTCGGCGCGGAACGTGCCCGTGTGATCGCATGCCCGCCGGATCGCGCCATGGAATCCATGCCGCAAAGGCGCGGATACGGATATGTTCGTCGCTCGTGGTAAGTGGGGTTTCGTACAGGGAGGGTTATCCCAAAGTGAGATTAGGGAACGCACTCAACTGGATGCTCACATTTCCTTCCTCCAGACGCCGTTTACAGCGATTGCCCTCCCAATCCCACCTCTGCCTTCATACCCCACCACTGCGCCCCCCCAAGGTAACCCACCACAGAGGGCAACAGAGAGGGGCCCTGCTCGGGACTTGCCGTCTTGGGGTCCTCTTTGGCGCTCTGGTGCCCCGCTCGGCTGGCTGGCCTCGCCTCGGGGGCCGTCTCTGGGGGGCCATCCGGATTTTTTTTGGGGGGCCGTCTGTGGGCGACCTTTGGGCCTCGTGGGGGCCGTTTCGGCTTTTGTGGAGCTCAGAATGGCGAGGTTGCGAAAACACGTTCAAACAGAAAGTTGGAGTTTACGATTTGTGCTCACTGGGGCCCTCCTGGGGTCCTCTTGGTCTTGGAGGCCCTTTGGGGCCGTCTTGGGGCCATCGGTGCCAAGGTGGGACTCTTGCGTTTGGCAGGCTTTCCGGAGGCGGGTCCACTGGACGGTCGTGCGGTTTGTCGCCAGGATACTGCAGTGCAAGGTCATACCGATAAGTATGATAACACAACAGCAGCAATTCTATTATACATAAGATGATTTGTATTTTTCTTTCAAAACGTGCACATTCTAGATGCTCGTTTTGGGGATTTTTCTGGGGCCCATGACAGGGATCTGTTCGACTCTACTCCAAATTTATTTCGCGTCGTGTTCGACTCTAGGTCGGCTCAAGTTCGACACAAGTCGATGGACGTTCGACGCAGTATCGACGCATAAGCTGCAGCGAGTGGCTTCAGGAAGATCCCAGACCGAGCATCCAACTAACAAATGTCATACAGTGCATCAGCCAGTAAACTCAGAAAGCGCTGTCGCTCAAAACGTCACTCCGCCTCGCTTCCGGAAGTGGGATTCTCTCGCTCCGCGGGGTGCACGTCCAGATCGCGTAACGTCTGTAAATGAGCTGTTTTTTCTTCGCTCGTCTGCCCGTGCTGGTCTTCCATGCTGGCGAGCCCTTTGGGAGGTGTATCGGGGGCCTCTTGGAGGCTTCCTGGAGGCTTCTCGGATGCCTTCTTGGGGTTCTCTTGGCTCCTGTTGGAGGCGTTGTTTGGGCCTTTGCGTGCCTCTTGGGTCAATCTTGGGGGGAAAGACGCCCAAGGTCAGTTCGATTCCACTTTATGGGGCCTCCTGGGGGCCTCGGGCCGTCTTGGACGGTCTGTTAACGCAACAGGCGAATCTTTACAATCTTAAATAATGCTTCAATGATTCTGGACTCCTGGGCCGCCCCCCCCCGCTGGCGTCCAACATGGCCCAAGAGTTTCCCAGAAGAGCTTCAGAACGGTCCCCCCTAAGACCATCTCAGGACACGTCGGACGTGTGGGCTCCAACGTGCGCCCCCGAGGCATCTGGAAAAGTCTCGCGACGCATCCGAAGAGCAACCTGTCCGTCCACGAGCCCCGCAAAAAGCTGCCTGACCTTGCAGCTGGTGCCGAAGCGCTCCTCAAATACGTTTCTGTCTGCGCTCTGGCCCAGGCCAGGTCCTGGCGGTTCGCCCAGGTGGGACGCGAGATGGGGCTCCGGAGAAGGCTCCGCAGGCTTCTCTCAGAAGGCGGGAGGCCTTCTGAGCCTTCCGCCCTGGCCGCGCAGCCGCAGGCCAGGAGCCTGCGTGACGCGGCCCGTGCGCCCGTGCTCGTGCGCCCGTGCCCGCGCCCGCACGCGCCCGTGCGGCGGCGTGCCCGGCCGTGCGCGGGCGCGGGCGCTGCTGTCCAGCGGATGGC